TACTGTGCTTTCATCATCAAGCATATACTCCACAGCTACTGTAACAATGGAATCAATGGAATATACTAAAACTAGCTTAACATCAAGTAACAGTTTATCATTGACTATAGGTACTACATCAGTGATGAGTACACCAGTTAGTACATTACAAAGTACAGAGAGTAATACACTAATAATAGCAGGAAGTATTAGTACAGCAGTATTTATATTACTGGTAGTTACTATACTAGTAATATTAATAGTGAATGTATTAGTGTGTAGGAGAATATGGGATAAAACATCAAATGGAAATGATACTTTCAGTTCTACTGACAGAAAAGCTGATATAAATCAACAATCAGTTGGTAATGTTTATTATAATAAGTGTGTATGTAAACATGATAAAGAAATCAATTTATAGTGCCAAATATGGAAAATACACTATTAGCATCAACTAATCCTGCTTATGGAGTTACTGGGGAAGGTAAGACCTATTATAAGTACAATAATGAATTGACATCATAATGTAGGGTATAATGCTGATGTATCTGCTAATTCTGCCTATGGTATTACTGAAAGTAAGATAGACTATTATTATCAATCAATACAACTATTAATAGAATCTGGCTGTGTATCTGCTAATCCTGGTTATGGTTTTAATACTGGAGGAATAGAAAGTAATAGTATGTATGGAGTTGAGTGGAGAAATAATTGTAAGAATAATATAATATTTTTAATTGAGCAAATTTATTATGTTTTATGCGAACAGAGCAATGGCAATTTGTATGTACTGGTAATTGTTTAGATAAGTATTATTAAAAGGATTATTGTTGTATTGGACTATAGGTATCAATGAAGAATCATTAGTGTATGATGAACCAAGAACAATGTATCATGAACAAGAGGTAAGTTTATGTGCATACGTATAAAATACATCAGTACATGCAGTGTATTGAATGTACTGCAATCATGTATTTATTGTTAAATCAGTTACCATCAGTGTTTTACTGATGTTTTTTTAGCATATTCTGTCAATATTAGGTTACAATAAGGCAAAATGAAGCATATGGACAAAGCAACAAACTGCACCTTCTACAATAACATAATCATGTGTGTACTATTATTTTTAATCAAAATAATGTAGTTAACATTGGTAAAACCAATAGCACTGTAAATGACAGCCACAAATGGTGCACACACCCACACAATGTGTGAGATTCTGTGAGTTTTCAAGCAAATTCAACTGATGCAAACAAGACCAAAAACATCCATCGTAGTCTAGAGCTAGTATTTATCGTCAAAAAACATTGTAGGTTTCCCAAAATGGGCTTTTGATTTTGTTATAGGCATATCCCTTATGCCAACTTCTCCGTTTCCGACTAAATCTATAGCAGTGGGAGATTTCTAGATCTAGATCTATAGCTGGGCGTGGTTCACAGAATTTCTAAACTCTCGAAGAAATGTCTTCCTATCTTCTATTAGTACTACTGGTGTGCTTCATGAGTAATGGAATATTACTGGAGGTTAATGGAGAGTCTTGTACTGAAGGATTTATGGATTATAGTCTTCTACAGGGTAAAGCAACAACTCCAGT